TTGAATTGAATTGAATTGAATTGAATTGAATTGAATTGAATTGAATTGAATTGGAATGAATTGAATTGAATTGAATTGAATTGAATTGAATTGAATTGAATTGAATTGAATTGAATTGAATTGAATTGAATTGAATTGAATTGAATTGAATTGAATTGAATTGAATTGAATTGAATGAATGAATTGAATTGAATTGAATTGAATTGAATTGAATTGAATTGAATTGAATTGAATTGAATTGAATTGAATTGAATTGAATTGAATTGAATTGAATTGAATTGAATTGAATTGAATTGAATTGGATGGATGGATGGATGGATGGATGAATGAATGAACAAACGAACGGACGAACGGACGAATGCACGAATGCATGGCGAAATGATGAACACATAAGTAATTAATAACAAGTCTATGAATAAACCCATATGTGTTTGTACATGTATGCTGTATATATATATATATAATATGTGAAGTCATTGATGTATGCATATTCTTAACTGCTTGTTTGTATGTTTACTTTCATATTTGTGGTTTGTGTCTTGTTTAGTTCCCAGTGATGCAACAATACCCCTGGCCCCACCGCCAAAAAGCAGAACGACGAACATTTGGACAACAACTGTCATGGTTGGAGAATCTCCAACGATGACTAAGCCTTAAAGGGTAGTCTGGTGCAAAACTTCCCTGGTTTGCTTTTGCCAGTGTCTAAGCCAATACTTTGCGGATCCGGCTGGCACACGTTGTTGAGGGATCCAGGAAATATGTGCCTGGCCGGTGGTTCCTGAAAAGCACGCGTGAGGAGCTCAGGGGTACTACCGGGGACACATTTGCGCCGGCCGCCATGACCAGTTCCCTTGGAAACAAACAGTGAACTTAGTCAACCCCAGCTTATTAATAGAATCAACTGGGGTTGATTAATATGGGGCCAACATGAAGCAAACGGCCACACCCTGGGCAAATGGTTGAGAATTTCATTCAGAATGTGATTGGAAGAGCCTTGCCAGGAGATCCCATGCAAGCCGGTATAGGTAAGCCTTCGTCATCTTCCTTTTAGTCAACTGGTTGGTTTGTTGGTTACATCTAAATGAACTGGGTGAGTATGGGACCCGCGGTTCTACATGGGTGTGTCTTCTTTTGGGGGACCCGGTTTGGGGTCCTTCATTTGACAAGCCCAGATGCAAGGTGTAACACATCTATCGACATGGGTATGTGCCCAAATTTTGGGACCCCCCAAAACGGATTTCGGTCTTGCATTAAAACTTTTTCCGTTCACCCAACTCCTGAAACGCTACTCTTGAACGAAACCAAAAGGTATCCCCGACAGCGACCCCGGCACCGCAGCCCAGCACCCTAGAGAGCTGCTCAGAACCACTCGGGAGCTTTGTGAACACCGGCTTTCTTTATTTGTGAATACTGGAGCTTGTTTGTCAACTCTTTGTTTGTGAACTCTGGGATCTTCTGGTTCATTCCCACAACTGTTTTGCAACAAGAGAACGCGGAATTCGGCTCTCAGGCGGTGGAGCTGGCTAGCTACACCTCCACGTCCGCCATGGACTTCGGGCGTCGGGCGTCGGGCTCCGGGTTCGGCCGATTGGGGTTGGTTCAAAAGCCCGCGTGGGGTACCTCGACTTTCACATGCCGTCTTGGTGTGTGCGTTTGTTTGAGGCTCGGTACCCTTTTGTTGATTGGCTTAAAGGGAAACCACCATATGTCGACACACGTGCATCTGGCGACCGGTTTTGGACCCCCGAACTTAAAATTCCTTTGAACGAGAAACCGAAAAACGGAAAGGAGAAACCAGCCATTTCGAGGATTTGTGATCCCAGGCCCCCCGTTTGTTAAACGGATGCTAAGGGGATGCTTTTGGCCGACCCACTTCCCCAATGTGTCTGTGCAGTCGGCATCCTGTGAAATTCTTTGGGTTTCTCCAAAGCACTCAACAAAGGTGTCAACGACTTAGTGGAGGGCTACTTCGGATGGGGAAAGAGGAACTGTCAGCGGATGGGGCCTAATGGTTGCTTGATTCAGGTCAGTGTTTGTTTGGTTGGTTCTGGGTGCTTGCATGAGTTCTAACACGACAACCCCTGTGCGAACGTGTAGTGAAAGGCAGATATGTCAATTCCTGTTGAGATTTGCTCGTGTCTCATTCCGATAGCCTCTGACGACAATTATTTTGTCACTTCGCTGTTTGGGGGCCTGTTAGTTTCAACCTCACAAGTGACCTGCGCTGCATTTTTTAAACACCAAACAAAGACCCCCAAGCTGCCAGAAATCACCGATAGGATCACCCCCCTCCCCTCTAAAGAGAGTTGAAATGGGCTAACTGAGTGTCAGTGCTCGGGCGCAGAACGTCTGCAGGAACCATCCGGCTGGGGCCTTACCTTGCAGAACGTCTCGTGCCTGCCGTTGCAGGTGAAGCGCTTCTTGGCAGAAACCCGGCGCGGGCGCGTACCAAGGAGTCGTGAGTGATGGGTCCCGTGGGCCACATTTGCTTGCTTGCTTGCTTGCTTGCTTTGTTTGTTTGTTTGATTGATTGATTGATCGATCGATTGATTGATTGATTGATTGTTTGATTGATTGATTGATTGCTTCCTTGCATTTTTTTAAAATTTGTTTGCTCGTTTGTTTGTGTGTTTGGTTGTCTTTTTTGTTTGCCGGCTTGTTTGTTCGTTTCCTTGCCTGCTTTGTTTGCTTGCTTGCCTGCTTGCTTGCCTGCCTGCTTGTTTGTTTTTGTTGCTTGCTTGTTTGTTTGCGTGTTCGTTTGCTTGCTTGCAAGCTTTGTTTGCTTGCTTGCTTGTTTGCTTGCTTGCGTGTTTGTTTGTTTGCTTTCTGTTTGTTTGTTTGTTTGATTGCTTGCTTGCTTGCTTGCCTGTTTGTTTGTTTGCTTCCTTGTTTGTTTGTTTGTTTGCTTGTTTGTTTGTTTGTTTGTTTGTTTGTTTGTTTGCCTTTTTGTTTGTTTGTTTGTTTGACAGCTTGCTTGTTTGTTTGTTTGTTTGTTTGTTTGTTTGTTTGTTTGTTTGTTTGTTTGTTTGTTTGTTTGTTTGCCTTCTTGCTTGCTTGCTTGCTTGCTTGATTTTTGTTTGTTGTTTCCTTTGTATGTTTCTTGCATGCTTGCTCGTTTGATTGTTTGATTGCCTGCCTTGCGTGTCTTTTGTTTGTTTGGTTGCATGCTTGTGTTTTTGCTTGCTTGCTTGGTGGTTTGCTTGCTTGCGTGTGTTTGTTTTTTGGTTTGCGTGCTTGTTTGATTGCTTGCTGGCTTGCCTGTTTGTTTGCTTCTTTGCGTGTTTGTTGTTTGTTTGCTTGCTTGCTTGCTTTCTTGCTTGCTTGCTTTCTTGCTTGCTTGCTTGTCTGTATGTTTGTTTGATTGCTTGTATGTGTGTTGTATGGTTGATCGTTTGTTTGCTTTTTGCTTGCTTGCGTGCTTGTTTGTTTGCTGTCCTGTCTTTTTGTTTGTTCGTTGCTTGCGTGCTTGTTTGCTTGCCTGTTTGTTTACTTATTTGCTTCTCTGCTTGTTTGCTTGCCTGCTTGCTTGCGTGCTTGTTTGTGTGCTTGCTTGTTTGTTTGCTTGCTTGCCTGTTTGTTTGATAGCTTGCTTGTATGTATGTTTGTTTGATTGCTTGCTTGTCTGTTTGATTGTTTGATTGTTTGTTGGTCCGCTTTTTGTTTGCTTGATTGCTTGTCTGTTTGTTTCGTTCCTTACTTGTTTGTTTGTTTCCTTTGCTTGTTTGTTTGTTTGTTTGTTTGTTTGTTTGTTTGATTGTTTGATTGTTTGATTGTTTGTTTGATTGTTTGATTGATTGTTTGTTAGTTAGTTAGTTTGTTTGTTTGTTTGTTTGTGTGTTTGTTTGTTCGTTTCGTTCGTTCGTTTGTTTATTTGCTTGATTGTTTGTTTGTTGGTGTTTTCGCTTTTCTTTGTGCTGGCGTTTGTGTGTGTGTGTGTGTGTTTTCTCCTGTGCGTGCTTTTTGTGCGGGTGTGGTGTGGTCCCTAATGTCGCCAGCTGTTGTGACACGCAAAATGCGCTTGGTTTATGGGTCTATCAGAGTCTATTAGTTCGCAAATGCACTCAGTGGCGGGCCCGTACATTTGGCTGGGCTAGGCTCGTTTTTTGTGTCTGTCTCCGACACGAGGCCTGAGCCAAACATATATACCTCCTCCTTTGTTGCCAGCGCGTTCCTTCGCCGCAGTCTTTAGCTTGGGTGTCTGCCCGAACACTGTGAGTTGCGGGTTGTTCTAGTCACGTGTGCCATCATGGAAGACCAATTTGTGCGGGATTGCTCGTTGGTCATCAACTTGTACGGGCTGTTAACGAATCCATGACCATGGCTCACAGGGATATCGTTTTGTTCGGCACTGGGGTCCAGCACTGGGACCTCTTCGTTTTGCCCAACCCTCACACATGGGTCTGTGTCAAAATGGCGGACCCCCAACATAGGTGCGTCCTTTTTGCAGTCTGTTTCGAGATAGTTGCACTCAAGGGCCAACTGTGATCTTACAAGGCCACCACCCAACGTAATTTTGCATGCCCTTGTTTGGAATTTTCAAAAAAACCTTGTAGGCAGTTCCCGAAATTGGTGGTTCCCCAATGGTTGCCCTTCAACCTCAGAGGGGCACTCTCAAAGGTTTCCCTTCAAGCCACGCCTATTTTGGGGCAGCGTCAGCAGACAGAGCTTTGAACCCAAGCCTTAACCCTCAGGAATCCAAAGGAAACCTAGGGAGGACCTCCTGGCGAACCCTCTCCTGGGTTCTCCCTAACGACAGCCTAACTCTCAGGTGCCATCATGGACGACGAGGGGGTGGTTTCCACCACACCGTTGCCCACTCACATCTGCGACGGGCGCTTGTACGCCACAGGGCTGGCAGAGGACACTGGCTTCGAACCCAACCAGGCGATGCCAAAGGGCCGTTCTTTGTCTGTCCGATTGTTGCTTTTCTATTTATTCCGCCTCCGCTGTATTTCCCGGTTGTTTTTCAGCCCTGTTTTTCTTTGTTCATGTTTTCCCTGTGAAATCCAGTTGACCGGTTTTCTTTTGGTTTCCGCAAGCCACCAACTGCTGGATCCAGTTGCAGTTGCCGGGCATTCTTTTTTTGGATCTCTTTGACAACAGTTTTAGATTTCAAGGTTCCCTGAATACGGCCAGAATCATATCTTTTTTGGTCGGAACAAAAGCGGAGGTAGTCTTGTGGGAAGAACATGGTTGTATTGGGCAGTTTATCCTCACACACCACGCGCCCACCCAAGCACGCGCTCGCTGCGAAACCACACGCGCAAGAGGCTGCAAGGTTGCTTGCTCAACCCCGCTGACACTGAGCTGCACGCACCCACCCTAGCTTGAGTGCATGTGTGCCTGCTTGCGTCCGGCGCTTGCGTCCGGCGCGTGCGCTGCACGGGTCTCACACCGAAAGCCAATCAGACCAAAAAATACATCCCTGGCAGCCCGTCCCAGCCCCACAGAAACCCGTGGAAAAACAAAGAAACAGGGTATGTGCGATGTTTTCCGCGCAGCGGCGGTGGCCGCACTTGCGCAAGAAAACCCGCTCAGTCGATCGCAGACTTGCCCGCCATGTCCGCCTACCGCCAAAACCTACTCTCAGGGGGCCATTCGTGGAGGGTTTGAGCGATGCAGGGGATGTAAGGGATGCTGGAACGCCCAGATGCTGGTCATGCAGGAATGCCGGGGATGCTGGCAAAGTCTGCGAGGATGCAGAGGATGTGGGCGGGGATGCTGGTGACTGTCCGGGGCGATTTGCGCAGTATTTACAGTGTTTTTTTGAAGGTCGGGCAACGTGGAGCTTGGGGTGCAACAAACACGTCACCGGTATACCCTACGGGTAGGGTTGCCCTCGCCCTTCGAGCTCGAAGACACACAGCGCAGCTGGATTTATCCCCCGGGCGTTCTCCAGGTTTGCTTTGTTGCATTTGGATCTTCAAGCTCCCCTTCCTTTCATTTCACGAATTCGGAGATGTGGTTTGGTGGGTCCCCTGTTCTTATCTGGGCCCCTTCGACAGAAAGGGGCGGGATCCCTTTGGTCACCCTGTATAATTCGACAAGGTGAGACAAACACGGGCGTGCCTTTTTGGAGTTGGCACCTGGTACAGTGTGTGTGTGTGCGCGTGCGAGTGTGTGTGTGTGTGTGTGTGTTCTGAGTCACCCTGCCGTGGATTGCAGTGGTGTTGGGCATGCAGCGAGTTATCATCATTTGGGGCCGCAGGGGGGTTTCTCTGGTCACAGACAGGGTAGGTGGCTGCGTAAACATTGTAGGCACGCAAAGCCCAAAAAGGACAAATTGAACTAGAGATCCCAAACATGGCTGACTTCCCTTGGAACATGCCCAAACTTATGCTGCGATTAGCAGCTACCAATCTTCACACATTCTTTTTCCTAGTGTGTCCACGGCCAAGAAACCACAGCACGCCAAAGAGTTTGCTTTCTTCTTATATGGAGTCCTCGGCCCGACAAAAAATACCCGGAAATGATTCTGTCCCCGTTCCATTGGCTCGCGACCAAGGACCCCCCCACATGCCAGAAATGGTAGGGCAAGTTCCTGAGCATTTCCCAGAAAGTTTTCCGTTTTGTAGCGAGCTGTTCGTAATTTTCCGTCCGTTGCTGTGCGATGTCCTGGGAAAATGCGCCTCTTGGACGGCAGGTGAGCGACTGCAGCATGGCTGGGGAGGACCCTTGCCTTTGTGTGGCCCTCACCGACTGCGAGTGGCAGCCGGGATCAGGCACCTTTCAGCATGGTACAGGGAGGATGGGTTGTCAGATGTTGAGAGCTTCCAAGGAGGGACAGCACATATTTAAACATGAAGCAAATAATTTAATGCAACCAAGTGAACCACAGAGAGAGAGAGAGAGAGAGAGACAGAGAGAGAGAGAGAGCGAGAAACAAGTGGACCAAATAAATCAAGTCCTCTTGACATAGTCTCACTTGTCAGACCTCTGAAATGTGTGGCAAATGGCCTCCGAATTTTCAGTACGACTGGTTGCAGGAGGAAGCGGACACTTTTTTAGGCATATCATATTCTGGACAGACACAGCACAGGTGACTGACATAGCACAGGTGACTGACATAGAATCCGACAAGGGTGCCCGAGCCTAAAACTCGAAAGCCAGCTAGCCAGCCGAGAGGACTTCTCGCTCACAGCAGATCTGTGTGTGTGTCTTCTTTGGGACAACCGTCATTTTTCCTCTTGGATGCCGAGCTTGTTGGATCCCTGGCAGGATTGGACATGCGGGTGGCGAGGGTGGCTACATGTTGTTTGATGTTTGCCGAAGGTTTGTTGTAGTTTCTCGTGAGAGGCTATTGCCTGTCTTGTTGCTGGGTCAGCAATCCATTATATATACATTTATGTATATATAGGATGTCTGAACATTCGGCCACTCTCTTCCTCCGTGGCTGTGAAAACACCCACCGTGGCCAGCAGAACTGAACCAATCCCATTCAATGACACACCTTGCCGCTGTCTCAACGCGAAACAAACATTGAGTCGCCAATCGCTTTGGCTCGCTTTTAAACCAAGACCGTACGTTTTTTGCACTGGTTTCGGCAAAGGGGAGCGAGTGTGTGAGGGAGGCGTTGCGAGAGAGGTCCTTTTTTGCACTGGTTTCGGCAAAGGGGAGCGAGTGTGTGAGGGAGGCGTTGCGAGAGAGGTCCGTTTGGGAGGTGAGTTTCCGGGTGGCTGCGCCGCCACGAAGAACCCGGGGGTCTCGTGCCAGGCTGGGGGGGTTGGGGTTGAGGTTTCGGGGTTGCACTGGGTTGCAGATATCGGGGAGGCTCAAATTTTGAAGATTCGGAAATTGAGCGGGGGGGGAGGGAAGATTCCGCATTGGAAGTTGGGAAGCGGCCCATGGGACGTGAGAGGTTTGGGATTGGAGGAGTTTGGGAAATGCAAAGTTGAGACACGTGACAAGGCATTTTTTTGCGGTACAGCCACACCAGCCGAGAGCTGCTCATGTGTCGCGCGACGCCCGGGTGCGTGCCGCTTACAGACCAGCAGAGATGCCGCGCATGTCCCGGTCATTTGGTGCTTTCTAAAAGGGTGCTAAAAGAGTTAGGTAAAAATCCACACCTGCCTTTGTCTCCCATTGGCGACTATGCAACCCCACATGAATTCCTGTGGTTCGGCAACCTGAGTACAGGCAAACCACACTGTTGCATGTTGTTGCAGCTTGAATGTGTCGGAAGTGGGTATGCACCATATTAAAGGTTGACTCCTGGTCAGAATCAATGCTTGTCAGTTAGCAGGATTCCCAGACATCAAGTTATCCTTGCAGAACGAGAGATTGCCACTATGCATAACATGCCATTGCAAGGTGTCGACATTCAATCTAAGCCACCAGTTGGTTCGCGCTTATATCACACGGTAGACTAATCCCGTCTAAGGGTTCAACTACATGTCGTGGAGTAGCTACACCTGACATGTACCCCACCTATCATGCTTATGTGATTTGGTAGCTAATGTAGAAGCAGCCATGTATCAAGGGCTACTCCAAATGGCTGGAACGTAGCATCCCCAAGTCAAACTGAAGATGCACATTCTGAACACATCACCCACCATGCACCTGGAGAATGGACACCATATGTTTTCAGCAACCAGGCCGGCCGGCCGAGGGTGGCCCGATTTGCCCTGAGGCCTGCCCCTTCCAGGATAAGTGCCAAGAGCCGGACCAGAGCGAGCTGTGCCGCCTTGCCAGCACGGCCACTGGGCCGGGCTTGGACTTAACTTGTTTTGAGACCGGCGATTTCCCGGGACAGTCTGACTGGCCCTTTGGATCTCCCCGGTCTCTTGAGCCTGAGTGCGTCTTTGGCTCGTTGGGGAAGTCTCGCTCAGGGCTGGGCTTCCACTTCTTTCCTTTTTGCTTTATATTTAGGGGTCGTATGTAGTGTTGGGGCAAGAACTCAAGTACTCCCAAGTTAGATTGCAGACACCCAGGGGTGGCTGATTTCCCCAAGCATCTACTTGTTTGTGGGGCTCGTTTCAAACATCTGCGGCGCAGAGCTTTGGGTTCAGGATAGGGTACATGGGAACCCCTCGGAGAGCAGGTGTTCCCTTGTGGACGAACTGACGAAGGTGCCGTGTGGATAGCCTGACCCCTAATTTGGCGTCATGTGGGCCGCTCACAAGCTTTGAAACGCAGCCATCAAACAGCTGGGACAGTTGCTGCTGTTTAGTCGCTTGTTTTTTTGTTCGGAGAAGTACCACTACTTCCCCAAAAGGTGATTTTGTCGCCACTTCCTCCCAACTTGAAATTCCGGGGGTCCGGGAGTTCACTCAACGGGCAGTCCTGCTTTCATGTTGGAGCCGAACCCTTCGGTGGTGGTTTGGAAGTTCGCCTTTTTGGCACTCGCGTCATCTGCGACGCCAAAAAGCGACCCTCAGGTTTCCTTGGGTTTCCTTTGGCCTTCTTAGCTTTTCTTTGCTTTGGGCGTGTCTCAAATTTTAAGACCTACGCAGGTGTTCGCCTGTGTTTTGCCATTTTGGATATGAGGAGCACTTGGCACCTTTTTCAGGCCTTTGGGGCCTTTGGGGCCTTTGGGACTTATGACAAGATGAGCACTCTCTCCTTCGGTTGTCTCCTTTCTCCTTAGAACCGACCACGTCTTGAGTCTTGAGCCCTTTCCTTGACCATCGGGTTGGATCTTTAGACTTTAACTTTTTCCACTAAACCCTCCAAAAAGTTAAACTTTTTGCAGGGGGGTCAACATCCTCCAAGTTTCTCCTTCGGTTTCCCGCAAAGGCCTGCGACTGCGCCTTCACGCGCTCCACCGCCGCGGGCTACGGCTGCGCCTTCCTGGGCGGCGGCTGCGCACCTCGAAGAGTCCCAATTTGTGTCAAAGGTTGCACCAACATATATACATATATATATATATAATATATATATATATATTATCATATATATACGTGTGTTTATGTTAAAGTGGGACTGACTGTGTAATCACCTAATAGCCTGAGTGTATCAAACCTGTGTGTGGAACAGCGCGGCACTTATTATATCCAGCAAGGGCTGTAGTCGGGCTGTAGGCTCAAGGCCTTGATGTACAAAGGAGCAGGGTCATGTACAAGGTGGATGTACAGTAACACCCCCTCTTGGATTGATGTATCTCTACAGCAATCTAAACAGTTTTGTTCTAGTTGTGCGAAGTTATGTAAAAGTCTGTTATCAGCTCTGCTGGCTGTTTCACTTTGTACATCCATGCTTCTAACGAATCGAACATCTGTACAAGCTGCATTCATGTGACCTGATGTTGGAAAAGATGCAGCTGCACCATTGTACCCAAAATCCGGTGTGCCAAAATGGCTGGGTTCTCGCTGTACCTTCAATTGTCTTCATTGTCCTCCGTCATGATCCTTTTCTTGTTCAACAGCCTGTAGCCTTGCTGTTGAGACAGGATCACTGAGCTGTCCATCTCCTGTAGCTTCTGGTCGCTGTAGCCAATCTGTCCAGGGACCAGGGCCATGCTGTTCCCACCAAGCTGAATGCCATGTTTCACAATGTACTCGGTGTTTCTTGTCTTCAGAGGCTCATTGATGGCTTGTACTGCAGGGTATGTGCAATAGCTCAAAGCCATCGAGAAGCCTGCATGTACTCGATCCAATGGATTCTCTGTATCCAGAACTGTTTGATGGGAATGACAATGTGTTGCAAAATCGCAAAGTTCCTGGTCAGGTTGTAGTTCATGAGGAAGTTTGTGATGTGGCCCTTCACCTTGAAAAATGTACGGGGGCCTTCTCGATTGTTGAAAAAAACATGTGCACTCCTGGTGTAACTGAAGGGCCTGTCCAATGCAGCCTCTATTGAACACTGTAACCTTCTTCTCATAAATTTTCTGTAACAGCTCATGTCTGTGCAAGCTCACCCTGTACACAAAGAATGTACTCAGGTCTGTGGTGCTGTCTTTGCCCTCATGTATCAACCAGCTCATGTAGCCAAGGCAGTCCATGAGGCTGTATAGCATTCCCATGAAGCCCAATGTGGGAGACCTCATGTAAGCCGGGATCCCAGATGTGCCGGCCGATGTCATCAACATGTATTGTTCCACTGTAAGTGGAACCATTACAGTGGTGTAGTTCTCGGGGTCATCCGGTGAAACCGAAATGGTGCCTACCGGCTCCACTGCGCAGCCATCTGGCACTGTCATGGGCATGTGAAGGGTCTTGTGTGCCCGGTGGGCCATTGATGTAAAGCTGAAGGTCTAAAAACTGTACACCTCAAATGTGAAATGGCTGCAGCATGTATCAAAGCATTGTATGAAACATGTACAAACTGTCATCCAGAGAAATGTCCAAACAAAAGGATGTAGGGGAAGTTGTAATGGTTGTAAAAGCGAGGGTCGATCCATGGCAATGTATCTACCCTAAAGGACTCTAAATGCGCCGGCTGATATGTAGTGAAACAAACACGTGTGTGAACTGTGCAACTGTTGTTTAACATACCGTGCACACCTGTGTGAAACTGGTTGTGATGGCCTCAAAGGCCAACTGCATATGTGTGTTTGTTGAGTGTGTCATGGCCAACAAACTTGGTGAGAATGTCGGCCGGGTTGTCTTCTGATTTTACTTTGTGCATTGTGATGATTTTGCTTTTGACAAGTTGTTGTATGAAGAGCTGTCGCAGCTCGATGTGCTTTGCTTTCTTTGATGTGCCTTCTCTCGTTGTTATTGACTTTGCTGCGCTGCTGTCTGTGTGTATCCTGATGTTGGTGCGCACTTCAAATGCTCCTCTGATGAAGTTGCTGATGTAGAGGCTCTCTTGTGCTGCTGTACCAATTGCGTACAATTCTGATTCTGCTGATGAAAGTGCTATTGTTGCTTGTGTTCTGCTGCCATAGTGTACTGCTGCTCCAAAGAAGTATAGCTCGAATCCTGTTGTGCTCTTCCTGGTTGTCTGGCATGATGCCCAGTTGGCATCCGTGTATGTCGATGTTGCGTGGGATTCGTTTGTCCCGTGTTTGTATCTTTGGTCGCAGGTTGTGTCTCATGTACCTTGTTCCTTTAAGCTACCTGATCATGTGCTTGAGCTTCTTGTCGTCAAGTGAGTGTATCAAACCTGTGTGTGTAACAGCGCGGCACTTGTTGTATCCAGCAAGGGCTACAGTGCCTTGACGTACAAAGGAGCAGGGTCATGTACAAGGTGGATGTACATTAACAGTTTAGGCATATACATATATAAATATACATATATACATACATATATATATATATGTGTATATATATATATATGTATTAGTGTATCTAGGAAAATATACATATGTATATGTATATATATATATGTATATGTACACATGCATATTCATGTTTTGCAGATCTACAAAGGCAACTTGGATGTGTATACATGTATTTATGCACATGTGGTATGTGGCGCTGCTTCATTGATATTCAATTGTTGTTTTGCAGCTCGCCACAAGTCCAAGCCTACAGAATTCAGACCACAGAATGCACAGACTGCAGGTGTTTGCTAAGCCTCTTTCCAGACCCAAACAAATCTGGGCAGCGCACGCCCATCAACCACATGTTATCAGATAGGCGTTTGGTTCCTCGCTTTTATCTGGCTGGTTGCAAGAGAGCCAAGGAGCCGGTATCCCAATTTGCGTTGGGCACATTTCCGGAAAAACCATGTTATTTTGAACCATGGGTCATTTTTCAAGGGGTAATCCCAGGGTGTAGTACAAAAAAAAACCAGAGGTCTGCATGCCCGGCTCCGGTCCCTCCGGTCCGAGATACCCCGTAGCACGCCGGACTCCGCGAGCACCTCCTGCGACGCCTGCAGCTCGCAGGTCCGGAGCCTTCGGCTGGAACTCCCTTCAGCCAAGTTTTCATGGCCCACGTGGCTCCTTTTTTTCATCCTTTGTTTTCATCTTCTTTTTTAAATAATAATAATTATAATAATATTTTTTATTTTTTATTTTTTGATGAACAAACTGTTTCAGGAAACCCTTAGGTGGTGACCCAAGCCATTGGCAGACATCTTGCAAAAGCGAGCTCACCCAATCCAACTCTTAGTTCGGTTTTGCAGATATCTGGATTCGATTGGCAGGCCGACAATCTTGGGGTTCCCCATTCACCAACCCATTTTTCCAATGTAGGGCAACTCCGTTCAGGTCTTGCGGTATTTGTCGGGTTCGATAGGCAGTTGGACCCCCGAGCGCCATTTCCCCTCGTGGTTCATTCCCAAGGACCTGGCGGGTTTTCGTTTGGTGCAGAAGTCGATCTTCAAAAATCGGGGGACATGCGCCCAAGGGGATGGTGTGGAGTCCACACGGTGGATTCCCCCCGTTGCTCAGCTGTATGTCCCGAGTTCTGGGGACAAACACGGGCAAATTCGAGTTCCCATTTCACGTCCAAATGGAACGTTGGACCTTGGATAGGACTTCCCCGTTTTTGTTTGCGCCTTTGTTTCAGGCTTTCAAGTTTTTTGATTCGCTTTAACCAAGGTTTCTTTGCTGCTGAGCCGACATACTTGGAAGGAGTGCCATGAGTTTCGTCGGGGGGGGGGGACAAAAGGCAGCCTGAGCGTTCTATACCTTTTAGCACAAGGCCCATACGCATTGGCCAAAACTCATTCCATCCAACTGGCAGCTGTTTTCGTTCTGCCTGAAAAGAAATCAACCAGCCCTTAGGCTGCGCGGGTTTTTGCAGGAGACTACAAGGCAGCAAGCGGTCAATTTTCTTTGGTGTTCCTCCAAAGGAGGTTCCGGCCATTTTGGTTTGGCTTCCTTTGTTCCTTTCTTATTTTTAAATTTCCGGCGATTTTGAGTACCAAGCCCATGCTACGTCGTGAAAGTTGCCTCAACGTAGGGGACTTAGATGGGTTGAGACGGACGCCAGGCCACCGCCGGTTCGCCATGTCAACTGAGGTGCGGCACGCCGGTGCTGGAGACGATCGCCCCGGTGGCGGGGACGCTGCTGGGGGAGCTGGGGGTCTGGGAGCTGCAGGCGGGGCGACGCCGGGGGGCAGAAACGTGCCATAAGGGCGCCATGCAACTTCAGAACTACCAAATGGAAGCAAATGGTTGCCCACGGCAAGTGGGCAAGTGGGATCCACTTGGCTTCCATGTTCACTTCCCGTCCCATGCTTGATGGCCCCTTTCTGTGGACCAAGAAGGATATTCACTGTAGTGATAAAGGAGGCCTGGCTGGACTCTGGTACCACAGCAAGGGGGCATTTTTCACAAGCTTTAAAGGGGGCAGCGGGGGGAATGAGAACGACATGGGCACATGCGAAAGCCCTTTGAATGGCTTGAAGGCCTCATGGTAAGTCCGCGAGAAAAAGGGAGGTTCCGCACTCATGGAAACTGACAGGAGGATTCTGGAAGACGACTTTCCTGCAGGGAGACCTTCCATTGGACAGTTTCTGAACATGGAATCGGTTGTTTCCCTTTACCTAGGGGGTGACTTTGGTACAACGAAGCCAGTCAGTAGCAAGCGTTGCGCCTCTTTGGCCCCGGGGTAGCGAGCTTTCGGCTCTCGCCCTGTCGAAGCCAAGGTCTTGTTCGACCGCACTATCGAGCTGAATGTGGAGGCGCGTGTCAACCGTCTCACGAATTGGCTCTCTGTGACAATTCAATAATTGGGTTCCTTTCTTTGGATGGCTAGGGTGTTTTTGGGCCGCCAAGTTTGGGGGTTGCCCTGTGTTTGAGGCAAACCAACCATGCTGTTTCCTGATTCTTGACCGCCGGGACAAGGAACAATGGTTGCGGCATGTGCGCTTCGTGAAGCTCCCTGAAACCTGCACGTAGGATGTATACTTCGATAGCTGTTTGCACCGAAGCAAAAGCCCCTAGGGATATCTTTCCAGGTGCACCATGCTCGCCGGTTCCGGGTAAGACTGGTTTTCTTCCGGAAGACCTGGGTTCCGCGAGGCCGAAATCGTCATTCCGAAAGGGCAGATCGGCCAACCATAGGGTCCATCCCATGGCCTGTGTATGCACGGGGATTCCCTCGCGTCGCAAGTTGCACGTATGAAGTGTCACAAGGACATGGGCCGTCTCTCACACGTGGGGAGGGGTCCGAGCAAGGATCTCGGTGATGTTAAACATCACCTTTTGGGCTGATTTAAAGTTGCCGTTTCTCAGAATACGGAACCCAAAGGGGCTGTGTCCTTTTTGGCATCTGCCCAACCAGTGAAAGGTGTCCTTTCGCGTCTGCCCAACCAGTGAAAGGTTTCCTTTCAAATGGGATACGCCCGGTATTTATCAACCAGGTGTTGGTTAATCCTGGGTTCCTATCACAAGCTCGGGCGGAGATGAGCTCCACCCATGATTGTGCTAATATATATATATATATATATACATACATACATGACTGCGGGCACTCAAGAAGGGCTTTTTTGAAGTTGAAGGCTAAAAGTTGATCAGAGAACTGGGGCAATAGTGCTGAATAGCACCAAGTGACACCGACTTCTGCCGCATACGGCCCAGTGTAAGTTTATATTCTTCTTGGGGGGGGAGGGGGGCCTTTTTGAACCGTCCAAGACAAAACATTTTTAGGAGACAGACTCCTGGCCAGAATCTGTGCCCGCAGGGACCTGGAGGCTGTCCCTATTCTTAACGTTATAATGCGCACCCTAGGATTGAATGTATCCATTGATTAGTGGGTTCCCCATTTTAGAGGAGAATCTTTCTACTTTTTGGGAAGCACCGTCCAATACTTCGCTGAGGTTGATGAAATCAGGTGGTTCTACCTGGCTTTGTAGGGGTTGTAGCTGATAGTAAAGCCTATGCACATCGCCCCCGATTAAGAAAGGACACAAGTTAGTTTATCAGTTTTCAGGAAATGTTTCATAAGTTAGTTTCCCGGTTGCGAATCTACAAGTTTGTTTTCCTTCGATCTCCAAAGTGTTTGTTTCCTGTGCGTTTCCCTTTCGGCCAGGCCCAGGCGGACGACTCGGGGGTTTTGTTGAAGTGCGACGTCTGGGAGGACTCCGGAGGCTCTTCGTTTCGGCTCAGCGGCTTGGACAAAGGCCCTTCCCAAGTCGTCAACCTGAAAGGGCCCAAGACCTAGCGGCAACAAGCCTTGGTGCGTTTCGGCCAATATCGTTCTGGTTTCCGTGTTGGGTGGTTTCAGAACATCATCTTGTAGGCTTCTAACCTCATCTCTGGGTCTCTGCTAAGGGTCTGCCAAATGGGGTTGCCCTCTCGCCGCCAGCCAGGCAGTCGCATGTGGGAAAACATGTTACTCAGAATGATGTGAAGCAACTTTGGGGCAGAAACAAATGCGCAAATGCCTAGTGTCCCTCTGGTTGTCTTTTGAGGCTAAGAAACATATGTCTTTTGTACGTATCTAGCTTGAAGCGACCTCCTGGAGCGATTCTTTTTGGCCGGGCAATGCTTGGAGGGAGACCTTGGGCCGGTGGAGGGCGGGTGACCAGGGCATACTACAAGGTGAGCTAAAAGGAAACAGGCGAGTTTTCTTTTTTTCGGGGGAAGACAAACAAACAAGACGGCATAGATGTCCTTTGTAGCTGAGTTTGGTTGAACATAGAAGGATTCCCGTGTTTTCAGTTTGGTTCTTCTCATCAAGTACCACTTCCTTCATTTTTCCAAAAGGGCATCTTGTTTCCATGCGGCAGGTAGTATCAGCTTCCATGGTTTGGGGAGTTTGGGGGCATTCCGGGCATAGCTTTCCTGCCAGAGGAAGTGAAGGTACAGATCCCCAATCCGCCAGGGTAGCACGGATCGAAGCTCGCCTGGGCGAGGGTTCGAAAACCCTTTTGATCTTCACGACACCTTAGAAGAAAGCTATCCACAGACCCCATCCTTTTCAAAGGACTGATGCAGTAACTCTGTAGGCACGCCGCTTAGAAGATTGTATGTCTTGTGGTTTAATTTCGGGAATCCCTTCAAGGATTTGGCCGTCCGAGGCATGAACTATAGGTCCGAGTCCGCTCAACCAGCTCAACCATTTTGAAGTTGGCTGAAGCTCGGACCCCCCAAAAAGGGCTGGCTTCCCTTGCTCCCCCTTCAGGTCCCCAAATGAAACGTTGGCCATGGCTTGGCCATTCGCCCAACACTGGCTGGTTCTGTTCCTTTCGAGCAAAAGCGGGGGCAAGGAAAGAACAACCATTCGTAATGCAAAAACATAGCACGGGTTGAACAACAGAGCCTTTTTCAGGGTTGGTTTTAAGCGGAAAGAACGGAAACATCTTTGGGCTAGTTTGACACATACTCATGGTTAGCAAAAGCATTGGGACTCTGTTCGGGTTCCGTGCCGAGGCAAGTGGAAGGTGTCCGTGCAGGATAGCATCTTGACAATCGACCTGAAGCACATCGTCAACTACAAGAGGACCGCTGTGGGAATTCTCAACCGAACCCAAAAAGGATGCCCTCAAAAAGAAACGCACATACACAGAAGTACTCGAACCTCCACCGGTAGTTGTTTGCTTAGCTCAAGCCACAAGAGGGTGGAATTGGGGGCTCACCCTCCGGACCCTCGAGATGAATGAACGCAGGGCTGTGTGTGGCTGACCGGACTCCACTGAGCGAGTTGGTTGTTGGTCCCTGATT